TCTCTGTCATGATTTTTTTTTTTTAATACACGAAAAGTGGGCATGTCCTGGTATATGAAGTGCTTGTTCATGCCTGTCATTGTCATCAATTGTTGCTAATAGTCGTTGAGTATTTACTGTGAGTCACACAAAGTACCAAGTGTCTTACATACATCACTTCATTTATCTTTCACAAAAACCCTGTGAGGTAGGCAACATTGTCACATCTGAGTCACAAACAAGTGATTTGTGCTACAGGGGTTGGATACCATGCCGCATAGAAAGTAAGGGAGCAGTAGAGTCAGTGTTTGAAATGAAGACAATATGACTCCCAGACTGCCCGCTGAGTCTCTGTGCTATGTTGCTTCCCATCACACACTCACACATATGCACTAATACACATGTACTCACACACACGTGAACATACATACACACGCATACACGCACATACACATTCACATACCTTCAGAAGCACAGCCACACACACATTAACACACACACACATGCATATAGACACAGACTCAAACACACAGATACATACACACACACACACACACACACACACCCCACACAGGTTTCTGGTTCCTGCCACCACCTCCACTTCAGCAAAAATTCACTGTCATCTCACAAAATCAGAGCTTGGCTAGAAACATTTGCTCATGTGAGTCAAGCATCATGCTTCCATTCGGCCTCTGAGCCTTTCCTCACAGACAAGGAAGCCGGAGGTAGGGCAGGATGCCACCATGCCAAGTGCAAATATCACATGGTATTAAGTCACTTTTATGGGGTACCGATAAACCTGCCACTAGTGAAAAAAAAAAAAAGCTAAATTTGATATAATACACTGATACCTTGATTAGTGAATTCCTGAAGAGTAAACTCCCCTTAAAAGAAGGAGGAGTCTTCTCTTCAGCATTCATTTACTTTTTAGGAATACACTTATTCTGTGCAGCACGGCTGCCCTGGTTTGCAACTGTGTGACAAAATATCTCAGAAAAAAGTTTTGTTTTTCACTGACCACTTTAAGATTGACTGGGGATAATTCTAGGCTGAGTTATGAATGCAAATACGAAATAGACTGATTTAGAATTGAGGAACTGAAAGATCCTGAAAGGTGGTGGTCCTTTGGTACTGGGTCTGACTTTGTGAGCAGAGCATTTTGCAGAGGGGGTGTGCTGACCAGTGAAACAGAGGGGTTCGGGTCCTAAGCCCCAGCTCCCCCCTTCACTGCCGAGGCATCTGGAGGCACTCAACCTCCATAAACACCAACCGCCTCCCTGACAGGTAGAGTGATAATATCTGGCTTAAGGTTTTGCGTCTCTAGGCTTCCAGGAAATGGCACTTCTTTTCCTTCACTGTTCCCTCCTTCCTGTTTATCATCTGTACTGTATTGCAGAGGCGAGGGGGTGATGGGGCAAGGCTCACGCCTCAGGCCCCTGAGTTTCTGTTTACATTCTCCCCCTTGGTTACCACGCCTTCAGCCATATCATCCACCTCCAGCTCAACCTCATCTACATTTTCATCTTAGGCTATAGACCTCCACGTGGACACCCTGCCAAGGCATTTTACATTCAACAAGTACACAGCCAAATTTTTGTTTCTTCTCTAAACTACCTCTTAACTTTGAAACAATTCTTTCAAATAGGACCTCTAGGCTCAAATATCAAAGTGCTGAGTCAGCGTTAACACTTTTTCCCCCTTGTTTCCTTATCTCTGAGTCACCAAATTGTAAGTTCTTCCATTGAAACATATTTGGTAAGAACAATCATAAAAACTCAAATGGCTGTAAAACTTGTGTTAAGGGATTTTTAGAGTACCAAGATTGTTTCCTTAACATACATTTATTAATTTAAAATTAAAGACATTTCCGTTCTCCAATCTTAAGTGGCTCGGCCATTGCACAGTTAGCTATAATAGATGGAGTCTTTGTTCAGTCACCCCCATTGCAACATCCTACACACAACTGTGAAATTCACCTCAACTTCCTGCTTAAAATCTTCAACCATCCTCCAGTGTCTCAGAATAGCACTAAATGCAGAAAAGCCTTGCATTTAAGGTTCCCTCAAATCTATTGCCAGTCTATGTTTCAACCTTTTATTGCTCCAATTCAGTTCTACAAGTTCTCCTTAAATGAAACTCCTTACTCCTCTTGGAATAAACTGTGTTTTCCTGACCCCAAATCTCTGCTCATACCATTCTTATCTATTTTCATATTTTCCCTATTACACTGATATTCATTTGTCATATTTAGTTGAATCACTAGGATGTCAGCCTCCTCTGCCCCAACAGCCATATTCCTTTTTGTCTTTTCTGAACCCTCATAGAACATTGACTGTGGTATGCTCATGGCACTTATCACATAAAACCTCTCTCTTAGGTTACAGATTCTGAAACACAAATATCGCCACTTTCTTAATGTGCTTCTGAGTACTAAGTGGCCCTCAGTGTATTAAAAACCTTCGATGTAGTCACTGGATGGTGCCTGGGACAGCGGTGGAAGCCATGTTTTCTAACCTCTGTGAAAATCGTAGAGCTATTTTCTATTTTGTTAAAGGTTTTTCAACCTAATTATATAAACATTGCTTTGGAATTCCAAAGCTCTGTAGAGACTATTCTTGTCCCAAATATTTCTTGATCAATGGGTACCTGAGTCCCTGAGAATACACAGATGTTTTTTTATGGATCAAGTATGAAGGCTCAGGACCACAGATGTCATCAGATGTAGCTGGTCTCAAATCATCTCCCTGAATTGCCTAATTCAGAGTCCTCCACATAGAAGAAAATTTTGCTGCGTAACTCCAACAAAAAGAACGTAGTGAGGTAGAGTAGGGTAGGTAAGTAGAGGTTTGGGAATAAGACAAACTGGATTTAGATTCTGACCTGGTCACTTACTAGCTGCACAGATTTGGGTAAATTGCTTACCTTCTCAGCTTGCTTCCTCATCTCTAAGATGTGGACAGTTATCTCCACTTTAAGAAGTTGTCATGGCAAAATGGTGTATAATGTCTATATTGGAACACAACAAATTGAAGCCAAAATAATCTTCAGTAAATTACAAATCTGAATATCTAATTTTTCTTCATCATGCATAGATTTTTATCATAGAACTTTTTTCTAAGTTGAATAAGTGGAAATCTTTTTTTTTTTTCTTTTTTCAACATTCTGAGGAAATGTTGAAATTTTGGGAGTGCTGTTACTGAAAGTATTACTAGAGTCTACTCAGTTACTTCTCATAAAAGTTCCTTTAAAAAAAGATGAATTATTAACTAAGTAGTTTGGAAGGTAAATGCTTAGAGCATTTAGTGTGGTTAAGCTGGGTGATAGACATTTTTTTTCCTACATTTGCAGACTTCAATGTTTTCTTTGAATAAATTAATAAACAGTTCTAACAGGCCTCATAGATAAGTCCTCTAGCAACTCCATAACTGGCCTTGATCTTCACCTATTTTTATGATACCACCTTGCCTTTCACACCACTTCTATGAGCTCACGCAGGGATGTACACTATCTGCCTATGATGGTGTAGCAAAAGGGAGTGGCAGTTAAAGTCATGGGAGGCTCTCTGGAAAAATAAATGAAGATCTGGTATAACTTCTAAAACACTCTGAGCCCTTATACACTTTGTGATTTTATGCCAAATATGGACTTAAAAATAAGGTATTTTGATATCAAGAATGAGGACCACATTACATGGTTTTAAAAGCACTCCCCTCCCCTTCTAAACTCTAAGGTGTTTTAATATCAATTGGCTTCAATGGAAACCTATAGGACTTCCCTTCCTGGAATGGTTCTAGCACTGGGTAACACACAGTTCTGGTCAGTACAGTAAGCATGAGTCAGAGAAAATACTGTTGTAGAAACTGCTGATTTCCTCCTTATAGAGCTCACACTAACCAATAAAGAGTGATCAGAAAGCATTAAGGAAAGGATAAGAGGCATGGACTCCACAGCTGGTCCGCGGACCAAGGCATCATTTCAAGTTGGGGATTCCATGTAATCAGGGAAAGTGTCTGGGGGGATAGGAAATCCAGGCTAGGACTCTGCTAACCAGCCCAGTTACACTATTGAAGGGAAACACGTTCTGAGTTGTTCCCGGTGAGGATGAATAACTGGCCTCTCATCAATGTCCTTTGGTGTTTTGGGCAGGAACAGTCCCCTGACCAGCAGTCCGAGCTCCGTGGTTCTCAACCTGGCTGCAGAGTAGAATTACGTGGACCGCTTTAAACAATCCTGATGTCCTGCCGGTCCCACCTCCAGAGATTCTAATTTAACTTCAGGTGTGACTTGAACATTTGGATTTTTAAAACATCCCCATGTCATTCTAAGGTGTGGCCACCCTGGCAAACCCCTGGCATATACTTAAGGTTTTTCTAACAAAGCTTCCTCTTAAAAGCCACCCTCTTACTATTTGGCTTTCCAGCGCTCCGTTTTTGTTTTTACAGTTTTCTCCCAGCCGACACACGTCTACAGCACAGGACGGTGACTTTCTACCTGCAGTCACACTACAGCAGTCCCTGAGTAGAATCCAAGAGGTGTCCTTGGTTTGTAAGGAATACCCCTGGCGACGAAAGCGATCCTCATGCAAACATGCTAAGAACACTGTTCACTCCCTGCTGTTTCTCGACCTGCTTTCTTGGCTGGTTTCCCATTTGCTGTTTTCAGATTACAGAATGTTCAAGGACACAGCACACGGTGGTTCTTCCCTCTCATCTTCTTGTTGCCATTTGACAGACCTCCAAGGTGAAGACGCCAGGTCCTGGGTGCGTCCCGTTTCTCAGCTCCAGGGGCAACCTCCAAGGCGGCCGCACCTACCGCTCAGCTTTGCAGCACTCAAAGGCGCTCATTTCCACTTAAACTAATCCAGATTCCGGGCCAGGAACGCCTATGCCACTTAACCAATCCTCTCGCCTCCTTTCCCCCTATTATTTTCTTTAGGTAAGAAAGCAGATATTTACATTTCCACTTGGCGGCTCATAGCAGGCCCCACCCTAGCAAAGAGAAAGCAAGAGTCCCAGCGTCCGGCCCCAGCGAGCTGCTTTCCCTGCCCTGGGCCCCTCTTTTTCCTCTTTTTCGGATCCCAGGGGCCCGCGAAGATAGGGCTCCCGCCCTTACCCCGCCCAGCACCTGGTGTGAGAAAAGCCCTCGCCCACTCATCTCGTTCGCAGTCCTTTGGTGATTCAGAGCCCCGGCCCCGCCCAGGGCGCTAATCTAACTTGTTGCTCAACTTCAGAGCGCTGCCCAGACTTCAGCTCCCATTTCCAGCCCGCTGTGTCTTCACCGCGGAGGCCCGCGCCAGATCCCCGTCCCCGCGCGCAATGAGCCCCGTGCTGCTGAGCCTCCTGGGCGGGCTGGGCCCGCAGCTGCTCCTGCTACTCCTGCGTCCTCCGGCTGCGTCGGGTGAGTGGGGGTCCGGGGCGCAAGCCCACCCCTGCGGTTCAGCCTTCGGGCAGGGTGGAAGGGGTGGAGGTCGTCGGCGCGACAGCCGAGGGGTCCGCGGAGCGCGGCGGGTGAGCCGTGTGGGCATCCCTAATCCTCCCGGAGCCCTCCACCTGTAAGGGTCAGCCCTCCTACTGGCAGGATCCCTGGGGACTGAAAGGGCTCTTCGCTGCTCACCTGCCACTAGGAGGTTTACTATGCTGGACCCCAGCTGGCAGGGTTTTAGGAGGGAGCCATGGAGGGGAGAGGGGGCAAACGTCGAGAATCCAAAAAGACAGGCAGAGGTCGAAGAGAGTGAATCCTCAGCAAATCCATAAGGTTGGGAGGCCAGATCGTTGCCCACTACAGCGTCCAGTCGAGCACAGACCTGGCACTACAAGTTTGCGCGTCGTCTCCTCCAGGCGTAACGTTCCAAGGCGGCATCTGTCTGTATTGTGGGCCTCGAAACAGCATCTCCGTGAAAGTCTAGAGCTCTCTCTCTATATATATGATAACGAGGGGCAGGAATTTCTTTTAGTTTTGAATTAATTGGTAGACAGGAAGCCTGGCAAGTTCTTGATATGTCAGCTCAGCACTGGATGGAAATATTATGCAGGCATCAAAAGCCTTTGCTGCCTCCCTTATTTGTTTTGGGAAAAGAATGTTGCTGTGAATTGAAAAGTAGGATTTCCTTCAGTTTTGTTTATTCCTTCCTAGGTGACTGCAGCCTTCCCCCAGATGTACCTAATGCCCAAGCAACTTTGGAAAGTCTTACAAGTTTTGCTGAAGGACGGAGAGTAACCTACAAATGTAACAAAGGCTTTGTAAAAGTTCCTGGCAAGGCAGACTCGGTGGTCTGTCAAAATAATAAATGGTCAGAGCTTGCTGAATTTTGTAATCGTAAGTTCTTCATTTCATTTTAGAAAAGTTATGGGAATGGAATGTTTCTTAAGTTTAATTTTATCCCTCGTTGGAATGACTGGTAATTGATAGTTTTCTAGCATTATTAATCACCTGGGTATACCTGTTGGCAATTCACAATCTAGCTAATTGATGGCATTACTTCCTGGAATAGGTCCTGCTCTTCATTAACAGGTTTTTTTTTTTTTCCCCTAACACTGTAACTCTTGAACTGATTAATAGCAAAAATAAACAATAGGTACTGTTTAGGGAGTAAATTACCTATAACTATGTTTGGCAGTTACCTTGAGACACATAACAGAGTCCTCTGTAGGACTTGCCCAGTACAACTCTGTGGTGATATTTTTAAAAATTCTCAATTTTCATTTCAAAATCTATCTTTATAGGCATTTCCCTAGTTTAGCCTTGACATGTACAAGTAAAGATAAAAATGTAATTCCTGCATTTGAACAACTTGGAGCAATAGAAGTTATAGTGAGCATAGAAACTGCCACAAGTACTTTTTGAAATCAGGTGTGAAATCAGCTTTAACTTTTTGTTTTTATTTATCCATGATCCAAGGCAGGAGGTTGAAGTGCATGTCTTTGCACATGTGTCATGTTTTAGTGTTTATAACTATTCTGCATAGAGTACTTCATCTAATTCTTCAAACCGCTCCCTGAGGATGTTAAGGACTTATTCACATTTTACAGCTGAGAAAGCAGCCCCCAGTGAAACAGCTTCCTTGGGATCAGGAGCTCCTTATGCAGAACAGCCAGCGAGTCTGTTGATTATAGATCTAATGCCCCTTACACTATATGATGCCACTATAAATTCGCATTTGTCTGGATGGTTTCAGTTTTTAAATACTTCCTGTGCTCCATTGGTTCATCTGATCCTTGCCTCCATAGGTTGTCCTGAGGATTAAATGAGTTTATATGTGTAAAACATTTACAAGTACTCAATAAATGTTAGCTGCTATTAACTATTATTGTTGTCCAGGACACTAGCCCAGGGATCTGGAAATGCTGGTTCTTACCTATCCCTATGATACATGGGACAGGGTAAGGGAATTGGCATTAATAGAGTCAATGCCAGAATGATGCCAGGCAACTTAAATAAGTTACATTTTCTGAGTTGTGGATAGAGTGACTTTAGTGTACCAAATCTACTTCACAGGGCTCTAGTAACTGGGGAATGAAAATTTACATGTGAATATGCTGATACACTATCAATGCCATAGTGACATTAATATTAATATTAAATGTACAAAGAAATATGAGAAAAAGTGATCTAAGGACCAGATAATTCAACAGGGATTGTAACATCAAGTGATACTCATTTTTTGTTGTTGCTTTTGTTAATACTTTCAGGTAGCTGTGATTTTCCAGCCAGGCTACGTTTTGCATCTCTCAAAAAGTCTTATACCCACCAGAATTATTTCCCAGAAGGTTCCACTGTGGAATATGAGTGCCGTGCAGGATACATAAGGGACCCTTCTCTCTCAGGAAACATAACTTGTCTTCAGAATTTTATGTGGTCCAAACCTGATGAATTTTGTAAAAGTGAGTACAGCTTTAAAGAGTAATCTTAGTCATATGGTGTTTGGGGAAAAAATGTTTCTTCCTTCACTCATAGAGGAAGTCTATGTGTACATATTATTATTTAGAACAATTCTTAAATGAACCATTAGAACCAATTTGTTTTAAATTAGGCAAACTAATTACTTGTGAGCTAGGAATATTGCTTTGTTCCCTGATTTCACATTTAAGGTTTCAGTTTAGTTCAGTCACTGAGTCGTGTCCAACTCTTTGCGACCCCATGAACCACAGCTCGCCAGGCCTCCCTGTCCATCACCAACTGCCGGAGTCCACCCAAACCCATGTCCATTGAGTCGATGATGCCATCCAACCATCTTATCCTCTGTCATCCCCTTCTCCTGCCCTCAATCTTTCCCAGCACCAGGATCTTTTCAAATGAGTCAGCTCTTCGCTTCAGGTGGCCAAATATTATAGTTTCAGCTTCAACATCAGTCCTTCCAATGAACACCCTGGACTGATCTCCTTTAGGACTGACTGGTTGGATCTCCTTGCAGTCCAAGGGACTCTCAAGAGTCTTCTCCAACCACAGTTCAAAAGCATCAATTCTTTGGCGCTCAGCTTTCTTTATAGTCCAACACTCACATGTGTACATGACTACTGGAAAAACCTTTAAGATTAAACCTAGTTTGCTGCTGCTGCTGAGTTGCGTCAGTCATGTCCGACTTTGCGCGACCCCATAGATGTGGGAGCCCACCAGGCTCCCCCATCCCTGGGATTCTCCAAGCAAGAACACTAGAGTGGGTTGCCATTTCCTTCTCCATGTGCATGAAAGTGAAAAGTGAAAGTGAAGTCGCTCAGTCGTGTCCAACTCAGCAACCCCATGGACTGCAGCCTGCCAGGCTCCTCTGTCAATGGGATTTTCCAGGCAAGAGTACTGGAGTGGGGTGCCTAAAAATGAAATATTGGTAAAGAACTCTCCTGCCAATGCAGGAGACTTAAGAGACAGGAGTTTGATCCCTGGGTCAGGAAGATCCCCTGGAGAAGGAAATGGCCCACTCCAGTATTCTTACCTGGAGAATCCCATGGACTGAGGAGCCTGGCAGGCTACAGTCCACAGGGCCTCACGGAGCTGGATGTGACTGAAGCGACTTAACATAGCGCAAAATGACTTAAGTGTATATTTTGAAGAAAGTGAAAGTTGCTCAGTCGTGTTTGACTCTTTGTGACCCCATGGACTAATACGTTGCTTTCTTGAAACTAATCAAATGAAGGTACAATTTAAATAGTTGGATAAGTAATAGCAATGGTTCAGATGGTGAATTTGCATAGATGTGCCTGATAATTTAATGAAAAAAATCAACTTGTATTCTTTCCTAGAAAGATCATGTCCTAAGCCTAGAGAAATAGAAAATGGTCATGTCAATATAACAACTGACATACTACTTGGTGCGAACATCTATTTTTCATGTAACGCAGGGTAAGTTTGAGCATATGAAACACTATATTTAACAACTGGAAAAACAAATTAGGATTTAAGATGGAAACTTTTAGATTTGTGACCAGTGTTTACGAGCAATAAAACTACCCTTCTGCTCAATGATGAACTCATTGCACTTAATATTAGTAAAATGGGGCAAAAAAGAATATTTCTTATAATACCACCACAATTCTCTCAATTGTTAGATTTCATTATAGAATTTTAACTGTGACTTGTAGAGGAAAAAACTTGTGATAAGTTGATGATCCTTGGAGAAATTAAATCTTTCAGTGTTGAAAGCAGTCTTTACCTAAATAATGAGTTTGCATTTGTTTGTTTTCTTTGTATGCAAATAATCTGTTATAAAATATCAAGGGTTAAAAACAATCATTCTTAGTGTAAAAATATCCTTCTGACCTAAGATCTTTTGTAAGTTCTCTATATATGGGAAAGGGGTATTGTCATTGAGGATTATCAGTGTTTCAAGTGCAGCTAAAAACTTTATATTCATTTTCTCATTTAATATCTGTAAATTGAACTATGATATTTTATTCTGTGTGTGTGTGTCCGTGTTCTTTATAAAGCTACCAGTATCATTTGTCTTCTGTACTAAACACAGATATTTGGATCATTAATAACAAATCTGGGGATACTTTGAATGCTTTAAATATAAGTACATTCTGTTATTCTATGGAATCTATATTGATCTTTTAGAACTCAGAAATAGAAAAGATTTAAGCATCTGTATTCAATATATGCCTTATCCAAATAAAAAATATTTTGCTTATCTTACAGTTTTTTATCTTTGATGTCACCCTTTTAGATATAAGTTTTTCTTTTCCTTTAAACTGCCAAATAAGCCCTTATCAACTGTTGTTTGTCTCTATCTACTGGTGTAATAAATATTGTAAGGTGCTATTCTGAATGAGTTAAGGGAAGTCAAATATGTGTGAATGGAACTTAATGTTTTCTTCTTCCGTCATTATTTTAGGTACAAATTAGTTGGTGCAGCTTCTAGTTTCTGTGCTCCTATAGGAAATACTGTTGTGTGGGCTGATGAATTTCCAGAATGTCAAGGTAAGACTGAAAAATTCTAAGGACTCTGCTGTGGGACTGAATAACCAATGATAAATTGCTTTTTGGTCTTTAAAATTACCCTCAGTATATATTTGTAGTACCCTCACCTTCCAATGTGTGAATGTTTTGCCTAGTTTATAATTTTCTCATTTAATATCTGTAAATTGAACTATGATATTTTATTCTGTGTGTGTGTGTCCGTGTTCTTTATAAAGCTACCAGTATCATTTGTCTTCTGTACTAAACACAGATATTTGGATCATTAATAACAAATCTGGGGATACTTTGAATGCTTTAAATATAAGTACATTCTGTTATTCTATGGAATCTATATTGATCTTTTAGAACTCAGAAATAGAAAAGATTTAAGCATCTGTATTCAATATATGCCTTATCCAAATAAAAAATATTTTGCTTATCTTACAGTTTTTTATCTTTGATGTCACCCTTTTAGATGTAAGTTTTTCTTTTCCTTTAAACTGCCAAATGAGCCTTTATCAACTGTTGTTTTGTCTCTATCTACTGGTGTAATAAATATTGTAAGGTGCTATTCTGAACGAGTTAAGGGAAGTCAAATATGTGTGAATGGAACTTAATGTTTTCTTCTTCCCTCATTATTTTAGGTACAAATTAGTTGGTGCAGCTTCTAGTTTCTGTGGTTCTATGGGAAATACTGTTGGGTGGACTGATGAATTTCCAGAATGTCAAGGTAAGACTGAAAAATTCTAAGGACTCTGCTATGGGACTGAATAATCAATGATAAATTGCTTTTTGGTCTTTAAAATTACCCTCAGTATATATTTGTAGTACCCTCACCTTCCAATGTGTGAATGTTTTGCCTAGTTTATATAACTCTATTAGTAATGCTTCTTAATTTAACCATGAGGATAAAGGATTAAAAATTAACTAAGGTTTATATTCTGCTTGGTCATTTATTATCTTATCATTCCTTCTAACAGTCAAATAAAATAGATTTGGGATTTTTTTCCCCTCCTTCATAATTTTTAATTTTTGGTGGTTAAAATACTATTCATTAGAAGGTCTGTGTGACTTGCTATATGCCAAAATAAGTGGCCAAAGTAGGCACTTAACCCAGACCTCTTGATTTCAAACCCGTCATTCTTCTAAGACCTAGTGTTACTTACACTAGACTCCTTTAAGGATTGTTAACTGAGCTAATTATGTTGAAATGTTTTAAACCGTGCTATACTTTTATCTTTAGAGAAAGAAGCATTCATAGCAATGAAGAAATATCTGCACTTGAAAATTCTATCTTCTCAAGAGGGAAGAGGGCACAGAGATTAATTTCCTAAAAGGGTATATCAAGTTAGATATATGTGCATTAGAGACATATGTCTCCTGAAAACAGAGGAGTAGATATGTGCAGTGTTTTAAAAAGTAGGTTTTATTTCTCTCATCCTCATTGAAATTATTGCTCATTTCAAGTTTTGGTGTTATTAAGAGCAGGAAACTTGAGTAGATGTAGTGTAATTTAACAAGCATCACACTCTTTGGTAGGGAAAGTGTGGGGTCAACTGATAAGAAGACAAATGAAATGAAGCCTTGCCAACCAGTAGTTTGCTCTTGCCACACCCACCTTGGACCCCACCTCCTATTCTACTATTTCTTCCTCTTTTTCATTATTATTTTTCAGTATCCATCCTTACTACCCGCCATCACCTTTCCTATTTCCATCATCCAGTTAGGCATTCTGTAAATGATACTAAAGCATATATGGAAAGCAAGCAGAAGCTGCTTCTGCTGCTGCTAAGTCACTTCAGTCGTGTCCGACTCTGTGCGACCCCATAGAC